ATATCTTACTCTCTCCTCTCTGCTGCTTATAGTTTTATAATGTTTTATAGTTTTCTCAGATATTGATTTTGTGATGTTAATAATGTAACTGAGTTCCTGATGTACCTTGTGTACTCTCCAACTTTGGACGTTCATTTTCAAGCAGCCTGTAAGGCTTTAATGTCTCTGAGACATGTATGTGTGTGTCTGCACTTGTATAGTTTTTTAAATAAGTATTCATTTTATCTACAAATAAAAGAATTATATTTAAATGAAAGGATATTGARGACCCTGGATACCATTTATCTTATTCAGTGGCACCTACCAGGTTGATCTCAAAGTCATGTAAAACCGGGAAATAAAAAAGGATAGTGTGTATACAATTTCTGGCTCTGACCCTTTAGAAAAGTGTAAGACAATACTGGAAAATCAGTGGCTCTGTATTAATTACACTTTACGCTGTTTCACTGGATGTGTGCCTTTGGAATGATACAGAAAGCTTAAAGGGCAGCTGGGAGGGCGCTTGTTAAATGTGTCCTGGATGCTCCTGACACTGGTTATGCTTATGCATTTATTTTTTAATTACTRTGTTTATCTTAAAACACAGCATTACAGCAAACAAAAAATTATTATCTAGAGATAGCAAAGACGAGTGTCTAGGTCTCATGCTATCTGAAATCATTTCACAACCATGATGTAAGAGCTTTGGGCACAACAGAATTTGATTTGGGAACAAAAGCTTTTGAATTTTAAATGAGTGGAGATAGGTCTCTGATTTGTGCCATCAAGCATTTTATTCTGGGGCACCAAGCATTTGCAAATATCAGACACACACACACACACACACACACTAATGTTTGGCCCTTAACCTGAGAGGCAAAATTTTTCATTGTTATTTAAATAACATCGTAGTGAACGCTGGAATAATTCCTGTTTGAAATATTTGACTTTTGAGGTCACACTCTCTTCCACTCCTTTCAGTACTTATGACTCAAAAATACTGTATTTTCTGATGCATTCAGTTATGTTGGTCCCAGCAGTCATCTGTGGCTCTCTTGGACAATCTCTATAAGATAGCATCTGTGAAAGCCAAGYGTGGAATGAAGGACATGTGTCTCCGATTCTGCTGGGTTTGTCTTCACCTCAGGCATATGGAAAGCTACAGGCAAGATGTTGTAATATAATACACGTGGGATAGATAGTAATCCCATTTAAAAATGAAATGGAATTTAGTAGAGAGAGTTGGTATGCAGAAGCTAAGAATGTACTGCGGGCTGCTGCCATCTCATTATGTTTCTAGTATCCAAATCTTAGATTTGAATTTGGCTCTCAAGTTGTGATTGCTTTGGAGCTGGTTCTGAAGTRCTGACTGCTTTGTTCCCCTGTACCTTGCATGTCCTTTTCCTAGCAGAGAGATTTTGACTGAATTACTTGGAAATGAGTAAAYGATCATTAAGTATATGTATTTCACAGTCCTTCGTTGTTCTACCTTATGAACATATTTGAGGGACAAAATTGTGAACTCTGTTGCTCTGTTAGGAGTGAAAGTTTCCTCAGTGACTGCACCCCGAGTGTTTATAATCACACACAGGAGAGCTGGTGAGTTTATCAGCAGTGGCATCGTGCAGTGCAGTGGCTGTCACCGTCTGCTGCGCTCCAGTAGAGCTTTCACAGATCACAGCTGCCAGGCARCATTTGCTCTTCCCTAAGCTTCAGTTTTTCCCTTCCTCTGTATTTATAGAGGAAAATCTTTGACTGGACAGGATGTTTCTTCTTTCTGATGCAATTCCGAAGGCTGATGTTTAAATGCTACCAGGTGATAATTGCCAGGTTTTGCAGCAGGCCAAGGCACGGTCTTGGTCCCATGAGTGTCTGCCGTTTGAGATGCCAGCAATGCCACCCATGCAAAATGCTGCACGAGATGAAGACTTTGGCAGCTTTACCACAAGGCCTGTCTAGCTGGAAATGCTCTGWGAGCCACACACTGCAGAAAGTGGCACCAGTTCAAAGGTGGCAGGAGTTCTTTGGAGGCTGAGCCCAGCGGCCCTGGGATTTTATCACTGCCTGAAGACAGAGAAGGAAAACTGTCATAAAGGCTGGGCAAGCAGCCACACGTTTAAGGCTGTGACAGGTGAGCACGTTGGTACCCTAGACCAGCCTGGCATTAGCTTTAACCTGCGTGTAGTTGTCAAAATTACGAGCAGAAATTATRGTATTTCTTTTAATTCTTTCATTCCTTTTTAATGTCCTCTTGGTATGATATGCAGTGATATTTGAAAAGAACAAATACAGGCAAGAGACATGGATGGAGAGGCAAAGCATTTAAGCTGACRTTGAAGCTGAGAATCTTTCGTGCAATGTTTTGTGCATCACAAATTGTGCCCTTGTGTTATCTTAAACAGAAATCTTAGCCTCTRCAGAAAACTCTTTGCAAAAGGTCTTTTACACTATTGCTATACTGACATTTTGCTTTTCACTTATCATTTGTGTTTCACTTATGTAACGGGCAGTGTTGGACTGAATTCCATAGATGAGCAAGTGTTTTATGCAAGTTGTTTCAATTATGTCCCCTTGGAGAAGGTGAACAACAAATACCTTAGCATCTTCATTTTGACAGCAGGCAGCTGTAATATGCCTTATGCCTTAATAATAAAGAGTCTGAGATGGTAATAAAAAGTTTGAGATGGAGAAGAATGAGTCTGTTTGGTGAGTTGCTCTGAAGTGAGGTTGCCAGTTTTGAGAGGTTTTCCAAGTCATCTTGAAACATCTCGTGGTTGCAGGCCAGCTGAATCAGCTGGAAGAGACTAATCGTAGTAATACCTGGCATATACYGCAGGAGAGATGCAAATCAAATCTGGCAAGGTGCTATGTGAAGTTTTGATGTCTGATTTTAAATTAAATCAGAGCGTTGCTACAAAGAGCAAATTTGGTTAAGTGTTGTAGTATGGTTTAATTAGCGAATTTAAATTAGAAGCATTATTTGGCTAATATCTGTGAAGTAGCATAAGTAGAGAAATTCTGATTGCTTTAAGAGAGGGGAAGCAGTTCATACGACTGATTTGCCTGATACAAGGTGCAATTCTAAATTTTTGGTTTAAAAAAAAAAAAAGGCCAAACCTGAAAATTAGAGTTGACAAATTTTTTTTCATCCCTTTGTGGTGTGTGTCTGTCTGTGTTTATTATGTTTGTTTTTGTTTTGGGRTTTTTTGTTTGTTCATTTTGTGGATCAACAAGTTTATAGGACGAGAAGAGACTTGGTTATAATTCTGATGGTACTAGGTTTCTGTGGCGTGTGCTGGTTCATTTCCTCAAAAATGTTTTTTCCCTGAAGATTTTTAGATAAGATATGGATCAATTTAAATGTTGAATGTATTTCAGTCAGTATATAAGGTGACAAGCTTCCATTACGTAGTCTTTAGCATTGCAAAAGCTCCTAGATAGTAGTGATCTGGTCAAATAACCATTCCTTAACATATGACTATCTATTAAAAATAAAAATAAAGGTTTCAGTCCAGCACGGGTTGGATGTTGCTAGGGGAAAGGCAGTCAGGGCATCATTTTGGAGGTAGGTTTTGCTGTCTGTGAGGGACATTTGATGGCCTTGATGTGATCTCATGTCTTCTGCCCATGTGGTACAAGAAATAGAGCAAAAGACAAGAAGCCTTCTGGGCCTACGAACAGCAGTAATTTCTCAACACTTCAGTTGTTGAACACATTAAATGTTGGAATTAGGATTGTCCTGACCTCATATTTCATGTGATCTTCTTGCCTGTTCTCTCCAAACATTTTGCAACTCTGCTGTTAGCCCTTGGGTGGGTTTGACAAGCTCGCTTGAGTCCTTTCATCCTTGATTTAGTCTGGGCTGCACAAAGTTGTGTTGTATTTGAAAATGTGTTTCCTGGAATTTAGTTGTCTTATGCAGAAAACAGATGCATACGGAAAAGAGTAGCAATGCCAGCAGTGAATACTCTGGCAATAGCTTTTAATTTCTGGAATTTGAATTCCACTCAAGTGCTGTTTTTCAAAGCAGGAGTTTGAGAGAGAATTGTTTAGGTGTATTAAGAGAGATTTAGAATAACTGAGGGAATCTCCCATATATCAGAAAATATTGCAAAGAGTTCAGGAAGGAGAAAAGAGCAAGTGTTTCTAGTTCAAAAGTTATAACGAACAAAGTTTTCATTCTCATTTCTTTACTACTGACCTTTCAGTGTGTAGTAAAGAAATCGAGTGAGCGAGCTGAGTTTTTCTTCCATTTGATTAAGTCTGTGTGATTAAATTAAGGAGAAAAAAAAAGTGCAGTTTTGAGCCTGTTTGGCTTTGTTGGAAACAGGATCAGGCAGCTGGATTCTCTAGTTTAACTCTTCGTCATGTGATACAGTGTCTCTCTATTTCCAGTTATGTGTAAACAAAAGCATATAGCAAAGTTTCTTAATCTCATGCAAATTCCATTCATGTGCCCAGGTTTTCAAAGCAGACTTGGAGATTTAACTGTACGGACTCTGTCGGCTTCCAATAGGAGCTGCATGGCTAAATCCGCTCATTTGGCTTTGGAAATACCAGCCAAGCAGCAGTTATTCGCTCTACCCCCCTTGCACTTTTAGCTGCTTTTTAGGACTGGATCTTCAGAGAAAAAAATCTGGTCAAAATTCAGATTGCGCCTGGATGAGAAAGCAGGAGCTGTTGAGGTCAGCTAGATATTCCTCACTTTTAAAGCCTGAAGGATACCAAGTAATAATGAACAGGATCCAAGAGATGTGGCTGGGAGAAATGTGAGGAAGCTTTTTACAAAAGTATGTTTGTTAGAACTAATCTGCAGAGGGCATGGGATCGGGCTGTTCTGATTTTTTGACAACGTTAGGCACTGTTGTGTAGGAAAACGTAAGACCTGTTCCTATCTTGTGCTTTTCATGTTTCTCTAATGTCTGCTTGTAAGCACATGTGTTAGTCCTTATCGGTGTAGCACTTYAAGAGGTCAGAATTAAAAACTGCACATTGATCCTTTTTTTTTCCTCTTTTCACAGACAATATTCTTATCAGAAGAGAGATGGCAGAAACCAGTTCTCCTGCAAACATCAAAGAAAAGGTAGGCTCAAGTAACAAGACAGTGCAAACCCAAATGATGTTTGCATACGCATTTCATCTTTGTTCCTTCAAACTCTGCTTACATAACTAAGCTAAATATAAATGGACTGTGCACATAAAGTTAAGCACATAGGCACATATTTGTAGTACTGGAGTATTAATCTCAGCTGATGAAAATCGTATTTTACTATTCTGCAAGCAGATATTTTTGCCATTTAGACTTCTCTTACTTTCTTGTGCTTCCTATGCATACTGAAACTATGAAGAAAGAGACTTTGTGATGGTTGCTGCCATGTGAAATGTAGCCTTAGAAAAAATGTATCCCTTTGAAAATCATTTTTCAAACAGACAATATTATACCCATGATACTTAGGCAAACTGTAAAATTGCAGGGCCTTTAAAAGTTGAACAAGTATTTTTTCCTTTCTAAGYAGCTCTGCTTTTTACTGCTTTCTGTGTGCATGAGCAGGTCCACTTTGTATCTTGGCTAGTGTTAGAGCCTCCCCAGCTTTTGAAGAGCACTGAAGAGCCTAAAGCACAGAGAGCTCTCCCTTCTGCAGGCCATTTATACCTGAGGTGCTGCAGCACTGGGGGTGCCACCTCACATCCCCTCCCCCTCCACTGTTTTTAAGGGGGTGCAAGGCTGAGGTAGAAAAAAGTCATTACTGACCAAAGTTAGGGTGTTGGCACACAAGGTCTGTAAGACTCTATGCTCAGTGAGTCATGAGACTGCTACTGTGGTACTCTGATATTTGTGTAATTCATTCTGAGCATTTCAGCTGAAATAGTWTATAAAGTCAGTAGGTTGTACCTTCTATTTTACATCTTTTTTTTTTTTTTTCCCTGAGAGATTTGTACAGATGTTGGCCTAAGAAGCCTAATGGATGTTTCTGCAGCTGTGATGCTCATGTGAGGAGCTAGGGATGTTCAGAATAGCATATTTTCCATGCAGATAACCCACAAATTTTCTGGAAAACCACAAGCCCTGCCTTTCAGCAGCAGCAAGCGTTACAAGTCCACGTAGGCAGTGCAGGAAGAACTTTTACCATGGGGTTTTCTCTCTCTCTCTCATAATAACCTCCTCTCTCTGACCATTGTTGTAATCTTCCTTTTCCATCTGTGTCTTTAGTTATCCTCGCTTCTGTGCCTCTCACTGATTGTCTCAGAGCACAGTGTGTTTGAGGGCTTGTTTTCTAGCACCAGTACTGTTAAAGACAGAGTTGTGGGTAATTCAAGTTGTATGACTACACTAACTAAGGACTAAAATGGGCCAATCTCATTGGATGAATTCCAAACCAGTTTCATAATAGTAATGGAGCTATTTTAGCATCAGCCACATACATCAGCAGAAGAGGTGCTGAAGTTCTGAATGATGACATCTGCTAAGTAAATAAGAAACAAAAATGGCAAACCACATCTCCTGCAATAGTTAATCTTCCAGTTTAACAAAGAGCAGAGTGAGCAGCATATCTGTTCAGCTCTAGGATATCCGCTGCATATCTGTTCAGCTCTAGGATATCATTTTGGTTTGGTCCTAAGGAATTGGATCTGACTGTCAGGAATCTTTCAACATTTGGGACATAACTGTTGGACCTGTCTTTGTTTTTATTGTGTATCTAGAAATGCTGTATCTAGAACAGTCTTGTGTCAGTTGGAATTCACAATATATTCAGATGAAAATCCTCTTCTTGGGGATTCTGTTGGGGTAAAGTCTTATTGAAGTTCTCCTGAAGAGTTTACTTTTTCGTTTCATTATCATTTCAAATATGCCCCGAGACACCTGTATTTGCCCATAACCATACTTCTAAAGTGAATTTAGCTCCTGAGAGAAAATTTTTTGAGCTCAGTGCTTAATACCAAGTGGCATTGGGATTGAGATTAGTCAAGGTAGTGTTTCTGATCAGTGCTGGCTTTGGTATGATCTGAAACCAAAGCAGTCATCAGCTGGTTGGTTAGTGTTCCTAAGTGAGCATAAGCAAGCATGATAAGTATTTCTAGATAAGTAAGTCACCATAGTAATAACAACTTATTTCAAGGGAATTAGACCAGCTGTGTTCAGGGGGTTCAGAACAGCTGTGAGTTTTCAGAGAAAGTTTAATTTGTCACTATGTCAGGAAAAGGTAAACAAATTATTTGAACCCTGGGTATGTTACTTACTAGAAACATCCTCTTTGAGGATGATGCCAAGGGGGAGCAGATGGAGTAGAGCAGCAAAGAGGCAGCAATTGATTTGGTGTTCTTAGAGTTGCCTGGAAACTATTTGAAAGTGTTTTGAGGGCCTAAAGGACCAAAATGAATACACATATCAGCTTGTTTTTTTGTGCGGAGTAGGTGACCTGCTGTCACAAGTTTGATTTCATAGTTTACTCAAACTTTGTATTTTTTTTCAAGCTTCATTTGTCAGGGAAATCCTTGGAGATAGATGCTCATAAAGACTCTAAGTGAATGGAGATCATGAGTGGTGTCCTTAACTCCTGCATTCAACACTCCTCAGAGGTAGCTCATTGATGAATGCTTTTTTAGAGAGAACCTTAAATCTTTCCTAAGTGAGACTGCAAAGAAGTTGAAGAGTGATCCTCACAAAAAAAAATAAAGTACACTTAATCACACTTCAGGGATTTTATTTTGCTATAGGAGCCGCTTGCCTGAGGAGACATTATAATGTGTTTTGATACAGCTTCTGGGAGGTCCTCAGCAATGTCCGAGTTGAGGGTGTGAGTTCAGAGGAGACTAAACAAAAGTGACCTTATGACAGCTGAAGTTTTGGTCCTGATGAGATGCCACCTGAAAGCCTGGCTCAGGTTGCACTGGCTTCAGCACAACTTAAGCAAGCATTTAAAGCTAGCCAGAAGCTCAGAAAAGGAGTTAAAAATCTTTTATTAAAAACTTTTAAGTATGAATTAATTTTATCCTTATCCAGGAGAGCATTTAGGTTTATAGAAATTAGATATACACTTATGGAGTACTCTGAATCATGGTCAGTTTTAAAGGAGGTTCTGTGTTTGATCTTGRTGGCAGTTGCTTTCAAGATCAGGGCTCTGTATTCCAGATATGTTACTGCATTCAAGTAGCAAGTTGAAATTGTGAATGTCTCGAGGAAAAAAGAGTGACCTTTTATTGTTTAAAGGGAAAGATAAGCAAAGGCATATTTTGTATAACTGTCAGCAGAGAGGTGCTGTAGCTTCTTTGGCAGTTGCATAGTAGAGTTATTTAATACATATATGTTCCCTATATTGACTTTTATGTAGTCTAACTAAAAYAGGATTCTATCCACTGTGTTCATCCTGTGGATATCTTTTCTCCGTATTTGCAATTTTTCTTCCATAAGAACATGTTGGGGTTTTTCGGATTAGATCTACCTCTAGTATATTCCCGTACCCTTTTTGTATTTATTTTGAGTATTAATGAAGCAAAGTTTTGCCTTTAATTTGAATTTTATGTTAATCAAGAATTTGATAATAATCAAAGCCCATGCAATACCAATAGAACATATTCAGTCGATTCTGTAGCCTAAAAAGCAAAGTGCCTGGTGTGAGTTCTTGTTTGGAGTGTTCTCCACCATGCAGATGTTTCTAAGAACTCCTCTTAACATTTTTAAGAAGCTTCCAGACTGCAGTGTGTGGTAAGCTGCCTGCTCCATCCTATGGTCTTGGCCTCACTTTGTTGTTTCCAGATACTTCTTGAGGTCTCTGTACTTTTCATAGCAAAGAAAGGCCTAGAAACCACATGAAACTCCCATGCTTAAGTTTAAAGATGGATAGAATATACTAAATATTTTCTTTTATAGATTTTCCTGTAAGCAATTGCTGCAGTTGCCGTAAGGAGGTTACTCAATTCTGAGCAAGGAGATGATCCATGTGATTGTGAAAGAAGAAGGGAGGTTTTTGTGAGAATAGGAAGATGTAATCCATATGGTGAAAGTGTCAGCAGCTACCAACAGGAACATGAAAGGGGCTGCAGCTTGTGGCCTGCTATGGCCCTGCTGTGCCTGCCAACTTTTAGCGTTACGGAGCCAGTTCCATTCGTACTTGACACGGCCTTATCAGTAAATAGCTTGTCTGTCCCTGCAGTCAGGGAACAAATAAAACTCTCTCTAAGATTTTTGTCTGCACACCCTGTTGATGTGGAGGGGCTTTCACTTAAAAGGTGTACACAGAAATACTCATCACTTCCCCCTGTTCCCCATACACGTGGAGCAGCTRGAGAGAGAAGCTTGAGCAGTCAAACACTTTCTGGATAGATGTGGCAACCCTGGCCTTCAGCAGTGCAATTGGCTACCTAGCTTGCCTAAATTCCCCACCTGGAAGTTCAATGTGGGTAGCAGAGGCTCCAAGAACCAGCAGTTGGGCTGAAGACCYAGCTTGTGGGCAAGCCTTGTGCAGCCTTAAGGGGGAACATACACYTGGGGCTGGAAGGTACTTTGGAATGGGCCTTGGGGAATCAGGAAAGCAGTGTGACTCTCAAATGTCACTCTAGCTCCTRCTTTTCAGCCCCTCTAATTTATGGTTGGGCCCTGAATTGTCCAAAGCTGTCTCTGCTCCCTGAAATGTGCTGAGGGCAAATGTGACAAAGCAAAGAGAAGGAGGACTTGTGGAGCAGAGGTTTTGTGCCAAAGTCAGTGTACTTCCTTACGCAGCAAGAGAGAGAGCCCTTAGAGTAGGGACTTAACGTGGCTCTTGCAAGCAGCTCAGAAAGCTGCTTCAGAACTACTAGACTAATTCTGGCACTGAATCATMTTATCTTTTTGGAGTAGTGACAGTGTTAAGTTTGTCTTTCTAAGTCACATTTAACTGAGTAATAGTACGGGGTATCAAAAATTATTAAAATGGTATTAAAATGGTATAAGCCTGGAGTTTTGTTTAGTTTTATTTAGCTTCAGTTATGTTACACGGGCACAATAAAGTAAAGTATCTACATGATTCCATTAGGAAAACTGTGCTTAAAATAAGCAGATACTGAAGAGAAAACAGCAATGGTGAATACTATGCTATGAAAGTTAAGCCTGGAGTGCCAGCTCTTTTATGGATATAGCACCTCATCCAGTAGGAGAATTTCCAGAAGGAAATGTGTGACTTACTATATCTTTTTTTTTCTTTTTTTTTTTTTCTTTTTCTTTTTCTTTTTTTTAAAGGCTTGCTTCCTGGTCACACATATTTGGAAGATAAATTCAAATTCTGCAGACCAGCTACTTGGACTTTTTTCTCCTAGCCTGTGACCCCTTTTCCAGCTGTTAGAAGACCAGCAGTCACATTAAAACCTTGATGTAGCAAGATCTTRCCTTGCTAAAGTAGCTGCACACCCTGTACGTTCTTGCTGAAGATGTGGCTTGCTGAGTCACACGACAGCAGGGAGGCATAGACACATTTAGGAAAGAAGCATAGGGACAAACTTTGTCAGTTTAGTTAAACCAATTTTCCAGGTGTGACTGAGGGTAGGATTTGGCTCCAGGCTGACTGGTTAGCAGTTCTCCAGTTTGGTCTCTAGAAGTAATTGCTTGTTGCTTGCATTGGTCAACTAAGGAGGCATGGTATTATTTTCTACAGATACCCTGTTGTATTCCTGTAAACAGAACATATATATTATATATATATTTATATAAACGTGTGTTGTTTGTATAGAAATAACATTTTTATTTTAGGGAATGTGATCAACTTGTATATTATTTTCCTTCCAGATCAATGCAATCCGATCAGTTGTTCCAAACAAAAGCAATAATGAGATAGTTCTGGTGTTGCAGCAATTTGACAACAATGTAGACAAAGCTGTTCAAGCTTTTATGGACGGTGAGTACAGTGTACCTTTGTCCCTAAAGCCTGAAGTATATATTTCATTAGGTATAAATGTATTCATTGTCTTTAGTGTCTTGAAATGTATTCTGTTGTTCAGTTAAAATTTAGGTGATTGTAACACTTTGACTGCTGGTTTTTTATAACTTCTGTCTGGGTCTTTGCTTCTTCACAGTGTAAGCTTGGCTTGGCTATTTATCTGCTCTCTAACTTTGCCAGTTTTGTTGCCATTATTGATGCATAGAATACCTTCCTTATCTATTCTGCATGAAAGCTAATACTCCAGAGTTGTCAGAATAAGATTTGTTCTTGAAGAGAAAATAACTAATAAAAATTGYAGCTAGTTCTGAAGCAGATAGCTAAGCTACTAAACCCTTGAACTCGATGCATATGTTGGCATTCAAACCTCTGTCTGAATTTTGCAAATGGCCTTGATAACTGTAACAGCAAAACTAAGATTCTATCGATATTTGAATCTCTCTAAGTCTGTATCTGGCTTTGCATTTTGCATCATGAGACCATCCTTAGGAAAGGTCACTTGTATTTAACCAATGCTTTTTCGATGAACATAGAGTGGCAAGAATTTTGAATGTTTTATTTTGATTTCTTTGTTTGGAAATAACTCACTGAAATGAATCACACAAGAAGCATCATCATGTATGGCAAATTACAGTGATACGTAAAAAGAAATGTAAGCAAACTGGACTGTGTTTACAAATACATTGGGGTTTTTCAATCAACTCATTATGGTGCTTCTTTATTCAGACATCTGCAGACACRGGCCAATTTTATTGAGCTATTTATTCTGATAGGTTTATTGATGTTAGAATATATGTATGCCCATTCAATGAGGAAAATGCGATACATGGATTACACCTAATTGCAGCAATGTTGTTTTCCTGTTGTATATGTCCTGGAAAACGGAGGGTTGCTGCGTTCAGTATGTTCATTTAGTTTAGTTTATTTTGTCTTAAGTCACTATTACTGATTTTGTGCACAAATGTGTGATATCTCCCATAATTGTGTGAGAAGTCCCATTATTCCCGCTATTCTCCTGCCCTCCTCAAATGTCACAAGCACCTTCTGCATTGTTAAAAAGAAACCTTAAGATGTTACAGAAGCTCAAAGCTGCTCTTGGCTCCACAAAGCACTTGTTCCACCATTTCAGAGCATTTCTCAAGCTGCTTACAGTTCCCAGCAGAGAAAATTAACTGAGCAGGAGCCAGCAGCGAAGCTACTAGGTTGGAGCGGACCAGCTGCCTCCTGTTTCTCTGTCCTAGTTTTCTTCTAGCTTGGGATGGTTGTCACTACCTTGTGTTTTATCCAAAGCATAAAGCCCAGAAGTGTCWGGGCTTCAGGCATTCTTCCAGCCTGGCCTTGGTACGTTGGTACAGTGGTAGACGTAGCCTTTCTCCTCTACCAAATTGCATGGTTGATCTCATGCAGCTTCATGCAGCAGTGCCACTCGTTGTGACACTTGTCCTACCTGGTCTCTTCTCTTCACCCACTGCTCCTGTTCATCCTGTGCTTGGCTGTGGGTTTGTGCATGGAAGACAAAAGGCACTGATCTCTCAGSCCAAATGAAATCCCCGAGCAAAAAAAATTCTCCTGTGCGTTCAGCATTGAGGAGAACCTCGGGACAGTGGGGGGAAAGGACTTTGTAGCCGTGTGCCATCTTCTGCTATGAGGAAAAGACAGAGTTCCAGAGCAAATCTTACAAATGCAAAGCAAAGCTTTGAAGAAAAAGTAGCTGGTGTAGCCTGGCTTCAAATGGGCTTCATTTGAACTGAGCCAGTTTATGATCATTGTGCCTTTTATTAAGTAGTCCTAAGTAGTCTTTAAATAGTCTCTGAAAGTGAGGATTTGAAACCAGCCAGTATTTGTCACCATCCTGAAACAAAGTACCCTTATTTTAAAGACAAAAGCTGGGTTATTAAATGCTACTGGAGTGAACTGAGGGCAGGACAGAAGTGTGTCTATTCAGATGCCATTGTAAGTAGCATGAGTATAGCACTTAAAAGTATCTATTCATGAGAGGCACAACATTGCGAAGGTGGAAGCATCACAAAGTTGCAGAGAACGTGCTGCCTGTGATGAAAAGCATAGGGGAATCACAGAGTCATAGAACCCTTAAGGTCGCAAGGGACCTCGAGAGATCATCTAGTCTAAGCCCCTGCACATGCAGGGTCACCTACAGCACATGGCACAGGATTGTGTCCAAGCAGGTCTTGAATATGCCTAGAGAAGGAGATTCCCCAACCTCTCTGGGCAGCCTGTTCCAGTGCTCTGTCACCCTCACTGTCAAGAAATGCAGGAAGYCCTGCTGTGTGAAAAAGGCTTCAATTTAATACTTCTCTCAGACAGAATTACTGCATGCTGAATTCAAGGAACGGCTAAGGATGCCCAAATTCATTTCTCTGACATCAGTGCCTTTCTTGCTTTGCATCTAGAGTGGTCCATAATTACTGCCTCTGTTATGGATAAAATTTGAGTTTAAAAAAAAAAAAGAAAAGCTGTTAAAATTACTGTATTAGCATTTACCTATTCAAACAGATACAGGAGGTCAGTCTAGGCTGCTTTGTGGATGTTTTTAATAAAATATTTTGATGGGTTGGGTAAAGGACTTCGGGACTTGCTCAGAGAACGCATTTCCCGTAGCAGACAACTTTGATTTGGATGTGAGAAATACCTGGAATAACCCTCGCTGTGCATAGTACTCACGCAGAAGTTAGGAAGAGTAAAGCTAAGAYACCACCAGCCAACTCCAAAGTGTGGGATACTGCTGCGAAAGTGATCAATAAAGTTGTCATGTGAAATCACTTAGGTTCATCATTGTAGAGTGAAATGGGCAGCAAACGTGTAGATTTATTTCTCCATTTTGAAACATGGTGCTGCCAAAAGATAATGTAACTTTTGGTTGGGGTGTGTATGTATGTATCTAACTAACTATCAGATACATTTATACACACATTAGAAGTTTTTGTGCTTAATGTGCTTAACCTTTTCTTAAGCTTTTTTAACCTTTGTGCTTAACCTTATTTATTTATTTATTTATTTATTCCTTTTAGGTAGTGCAATTCAGGTTCTAAAAGAATGGAATATGACAGGGAAAAAGAAGGTAAGGACTTGCTGTTGAGAATCAAAGCATTAAGACCACTTACCAGCTGTCCCTAGCAGTCTAGGACTATTATTTTCCTGTGCTTTKTCTGCATTTGCTGCATAAGTAACTTGATCCACACCTCTATGCAGAAGCCCTGAAAGCCAATGTGTGTGTGATTTTTAATCTTGTACTCTTGTTACTGTCTGTCTAGCGTGGTACCTGAGGGAATTTCTAGGACAATGTGCAGCAGTGGGGAGGGAGAGATGTGCAGACTTTGGGCAAGTACACAATGAATCTCAAAGCAGCACTCGGACACTGCAGAAACATTTAATATGCATCCAGTTGAGTCCTGGCTAGTCCCAGCTGCTTACAGCAGTAAGAGCTTTTGCTGCCATAGGGCTAATCTATGCATAGGAAGAATCTATTAGGGGCACTGTCAAGTCAGACACTTTCAGTAGATATCTGGGGTATTATTTTTATGCTGTTTATATCCCAACCTTTCATGGTTAGTAATTACTTGGCCAAGATGATCGTGAACTTTTTTGAACAGCCTTTTAGCACAGACTCCATTACCATTCTGAAATGTAAATATTCTGTATGAAAGAAAGGAGAAGACCAGTTTGAGTCTTCAGATTTTATTTGAGGCCGTTTATGTACAGTCAGCTGAACAGATACAAGGTGTTATGTAGTACAGAGTGGCCTAGAAACTTCATTATAAGAAATGTTGCTTTTATGGCATTTTGCAAAACTAAAGAGTATCGACAATTCACTAATTATATTTTAAATTGATATGGCCTGCACTGAGTAATCTCTCTGTTCTTGTGTTATATATCTGTTCAGAACAACAGGAGAAAAAGAAGCAAATCTAAACAGCTCCAGGCCAATAAAGATCCTAAAGATAAGAACGCTGGACCAGAGAAGGCGTCTCAGGAGCCCCAGGGAACACACRGCTGCCATGTGAATGGGCGCTATAAGGACAACTGCTGCAGTAATTCTAGCAATGAAAAGTTGGAAGTCACCAGTCTTGAAAACAGAAGCTCRGCATTTGTACAGTCAACACCTGTCTGTCCAGAAATCACAGGTCAGTGTATCTGTATTTTTTGCTGATAAGAGCTAAGTTCACATTTATAAAGATCTTGGCATTTCTACGACCATAAAGTAGAATTAAAAAGAAAAAAGAGGAAGGAGGTGGGAGTGGAGAGAAGAAAAATTAAGATGCTTACACAATGTACATGGCTATTTCAGAAAGCCCTATAAGTAGATGAATGTCTAGGCACAGTTTTCTTGAACAGCTCTTCCAAGCTGAGGATGGGGGTGGAAAAAGGGAAGGAAAGGATCAAGCTAACTAGAGAGGCCCTGATGATGTAGAACATTACAGGTACAAATACAGAAAAGAGCAGAGGTAGAGCTTCGTTGGAGTGCAGTKCAGGAGTGGTAAAATCCCCCAACGGGGGCCAAGGGGTCTGAGCAGCATGGCTTTGTGGCATGTTATGTGATGTCTTATTGCCTAGTGTTGACTTCTCCCATTTGTTTGTCTTGTAATCTCTGAATAAGCCACTGGCAACAGCTCTCCCTTGGCTTCCCTAACGGGAAGGATTGTTGGGGAGAGGCAGCCTCTGGGTACATATATGTTTCTGTTCGAGTCCAGGTACTGCTCCCAAAGCTCTGAGGGATGATAACACTCCTCCTCATTGCAGTTCTAGTAGGTACAGACTTGCAATTACAGTAGCATCACAGAATATATGGATTCTCTGAGCGAGGAACTCTGACCAAGCTTTTGTCCTCGTGTATCTTTTCATGAAATTCATATTTATTTTTAATTGCTGTCCATACTGATAATGATTTTTCAGTTCTTCACATTTCAAACCTCAGTCAGCCCTTGATTACTGCTGTTATGTTAATATTTTCTTCTTGTGTTTTAAGCAGTACATAAGACTACTTTAAGAAAAAGACAAAATAAAAAAATAATACACTTCCCATGAAATATCCTCCRTTGCTTTTGGGGAACTTTGATAGTATGCCAATGTCTGGCTGCTCAGGAAACACAGCAGCTAAACAGCAGAATTATTTTCTTAAGAAATTTAGTTCTAAGAATCAGGTTTTYTACCATCCTGACAGAGGAGCAGTGATATTCTTCCCACCCTTGCAGAGGGTACAAAGATTCCCAGTTATGTACAGAATATGCTAGAAGCCAAAAAAACCCTGCATTTCCATAATGTTGAAAGCATTCTTATCACTCATGCTGAAAAATTTAAATATTCATGTATTCTTCGATATTATGTAGTACATATATATGTCAAGCTGTCACGTTAGGTTTGGTGGTGCTTTTTGTGTTTCCTCAAGCTGGATCTATGCATTAATAAAGGCCAAGTTTTTCACATGAAGGAAGTGTTTTCTAAGGGGTAATAGAGTGTATGCCATCAACAGCTTAACCTTCTTAGGGCTCTCAGCAACACAGGTTTTGCTAAAGAAGTAGCATAAACACCTTGAAAAGACGCTTAAAGCTGCCTGACCACCTTGTTGCAGGTGCAGGGGTCAGGTAAAGCCAGATACAAATCAGATGCTGCTTTGTTCCTGCTTTTTCTAAAAGTTTGTTTCGTGTGTGTGTGTGTAGGAAGTTTGAAGGATTTGATAACATCTGAATGATTTTAGCTTGAGACAGTTTTTTCCAACATTTAGGAAAAAAAACTTTTGAAGTATATTGCAGACAGAAGGTGATAAAAGAACTTCTAGAAGTATCATTGTTGTTCCAGATATTCTTTTTGAGGAAAAAGAAAGATTTTCATTTGTCTTGTTGGGTCCCAAAGCAGCTAATTAAATGCAGTAAATACCAGTTTTGCACTTTAAGAACATATGTCAAAGGATTTGGTATGGGGATTTAGGTGTCCTGGCCTCTCTATATAGCTCAGTAGCTAGATGGTGTGTTTCTAACCATCTGTCAAGAGTGAGTCAATGAGGCCAGCCTGAAGTGAAATGTTTTCAGCATTCTGCATTCTCTTATTTTTGCTCTATGTGCTATCTTCTAGAAATGTGGGCACTAATGCTCCTCTTTGTTCCTCTGGCCTTGTGTGCTTGCAATGGAAACAGCAAAATTTACCGTACGCCCATCCTAGAGGCCAGGCAGGGCACTCGCAGGTTGCTCCCTGACTTCCTGGAGCAGCCCAGGTGCAATCCCTCCATCCCAGCAGCATTAAGTGCAATTTGAGAGCTATCATCTAGCTGTTAAACTGACACAGGCACCGTGTAGAATCAGTGATGCACAAACAGCATCTTCAGAACAACCTATTGTTCATTTGCCAAAGGGAATACAGGGATTAGAAAAACGGGTGAACACAACAAAACCTTTTCTACGTATTTTTCCTTACCAATAGCTGGTCTTACAGTTCAGCCTTTGTAACCRTTTCTTGGCCATTTGTCTGGTGATGCTGACATCTCCGTGAATCCCGTTGGAAGAAAGGAGCTTAATCTTTTACATTGCTTTATTTCCTCTTTACTCTCCCTTAACAGCTTCTTTTGATTTAGCTCTACGTAGTCAAACAGGGTAAATCTTTCTGCTAGGAATGTTTAATAAACATTTTTAATACTGATTAAATGTTCACTGTTTGTGTCGTATTTTTTTAACAAAYGTTAAAATCTCTTTCTTTTCATAGCAATCTTCCTCTCTCTAGTTCTATCCTCCCATAAACAAGCAAAGATTTCAAGTGATGGATGCATTGTCTGTGCAATGAGATATTTTTACCATACCAGGATAGAAAAACCTTTTCTTTTTAGGCTGTTAAAATATAGATGTGTTCAGATTGGTATTAAAACTCCAAAATATTTTTATTTCTGTTCTGACACTGCTTTCAAACTTCTTGCAGAATGTGTGCCAGCGAGAGGCAAAACTACTTTTCCAGTGTATAAAYATCAAGTCATTCAGATTCAACCACAAGGCATCAAATCTTTCCRAAACTTGTAACTCCCTGCTTTCCAACTTTGTTTTCTTTCAGACAAAGGACAAGAACAGCAGAGAATATCCACAGAATTAACCCCAAAGTCAATAAATGGAGTGGATCAGTGCGAGCCTCCTCAGTCATCAGCTCAACTTCAGTGTAACTCAGGCAGGCCAAAGTCAAAAACTTCCTCAGTTAAATCACCCAACTCTACAGCCCACCTTGAAATAAAGCCAGATGATTCGGTTAAAAAAAGAGGTAAAGAAAATCTCTTCATTCAGCCATTGTGTAGAGAGGTGGTCAGACAGCTGATGCCTCCAGAAAGGTGAATATACCTAAGGAGGAACCGACGTGCTAGAAAAAGTGAGAGTAGAATTGTATTTAGCATAAAGAAATTGAGCAGGGTAATCTGTGATTGATTTAAAGTGAAATTTAAAATGAATCGTGAATTCTTTGATTTGGAGAATGAATTTGAACATGCATGTTCATAAAATGAGAAGCRCCATAGAAAAACTGTGAAAAAATTTGGCTTGTGGGTTTTGAGAAGATAGAACTTCAGCTTAATGTGAACAAGTCTTTTTAAGTATTCCCTCTCCCTCATTTAGAATAGCTAAAATCAGCTTTCTGACTTTTGCGTTATTTTTATTTTCCATTTTAGGACCAAACATTGAAAAATCATTGAAGGATTTGCAGCGCTGCACTGTTTCTCTAACCAGATACCGCATGATGATCAAAGAGGAAGTGGATAATTCGGTGAAGAAGATCAAAGCTGCATTTGCAGAATTACACAGCTGGTAGGTAAATCAGCTTGAGATATTCAACAATACAGCCTGAGAAATGAGGGGTGAATGCAGGCCACTGGCAGCAGGAGGGGAAGTCCATTTACATCCTGTTTGCAGCACTTGTTTTCCACAAAAAAAAAA